AAACATCACTTTCTGCGGATGAAGTCTAGGTTTCGGGGTCAGAAGTGGTTTTTCTCTAGAACTGAGCCTTTTTTTTTTGGCGTTTAATATTCGCATAGAGAATCAATTTTTCATCGCCGGTGACAATGCTCTTCAGAAATATTTCACGCGCATTGCGCGCCAGAAGAGACGAAGCAACGTTCACACGTTGGAAAGTTGATCATCGGAGAGTTCGTGAGGCACCCAAACACCTTGTTCCTTAGATGTTTACGTATTGTTTCATGAGAAACATGCAATTTCAGGGCTATTCCACGGGTGTGTTGCCTTGGGTTAGACCCAACAAGCGTCATCACAGTTTTTAAGGCTAAAATCACCTGAACGAAATTTGCTGAACCATCGTTGACACTTACGAGCGTTCAAAACATTTCCATTAACTTATTTGATATTCTTTGTGGCAAAAGAAACGTTGTTTCCCTTCTAGTATTTAAACAGCATTACATGCCGAATGTGTGTCTCGTCGTGTGCCATCACTATAAGGGATTAAAGTATACTAAACTTTACACATTATATAGGCTACATTAACGTGACGTTTAGGCGGTTCGTTTAACAATTATACGTGATGTATGTTTTTGGGAGGGTAGTTAAAGAAAGTGTTCCAAAACGCGACATTAATTTCTTTACGATCTAATACATATTTTAAGCTAACAATGCAAAGCAGTCTTTATGATAAAAGTATAATAATAATAACTCACAATAGTTGAACTTAAAGTTCTTATGCTTCTATAATTTTAACTGAGAAAAGAATTGTTTTGTATTTTTATTATTATTATTTTGTCTCTTAAATGCATAAATATTTAAATGGCATTCTTATAAATTTGGTGTATGTAGGAAAAAGGAAAATAATGAGACAGCCCAAGGGTGATTTACAAACTATATTCAAGGTGCTAACATTTTATCTATTTCTTCTTTCTTATACATAGTAATATCATTAAAAATTTTATATTAATTCTATTGTACTTCTTTTGCTTATTCTTTTTACGGTTTGTAAAATCACAATTGTACATAACTATATATAAATGACGTTGGAACTTGCAAGTAGAACAGTGAACGGAAGGAAAGCACCGTATAAAATTCCGTAGTTTATTCTGAATAATGTTGTGTTGTATTTTTTGTGCTAAAACAAATACAACACAACATTATTATAGACTGCTACAGCGTTTTAGCACAAAGCTGTAGCTAGTCTATAATAATGTTGTGTTGTATTTGTTTTAGCACAAAGCTGTAACAGTATAATAATGTTGTGTTGTATTTGTTTTAGCACAAAGCTGTAACAGTCTATAATAATGTTGTGTTGTATTTGTTTTAGCACAAAGCTGTAGCAGTCTATAACAATGTTGTGTTGTATTCGTTTTAGTACAAAGCTGTAATAGTCTATCTGCGCATGTCCACTGTGGAGACAGAACCTCGGATTCTTAAGAAAGTGACGTTAATTAAATGGTATCATCTCCCCTCTCTAAGTGGATCGCTAATAAATAGCATGCCATTTAAACAGTTGAAATGGATAAATACAGTAAAAGGTTTTAAAAACCACAAATCTATTTATTTGTTTACAAAAATCAGTCCAATTTTTCTTACCTAGACTTTTTTCCAGAAGATGGGATTTTACGTCTACCTCCCACACCTGGGATGAAGTAAGTGGGGTTCCTTTTATGAAATGATGTTTCGGCTAGAACAATAAATAAAAAGGAACATTTTTATTTTATGTTGTTGTTGTTGATTTTTATATGAGTGTAAATATTTATTACTCCTATAATTTCCAATTGTAACTTAATTAAAGACTCATACTTACCCCTAAATGACACTAGCTAAAAGGCCTTAGTGTACAGTATAAATATGTAACGTATTCCATCATCTAAAAATAAAGCTTTGCGCTTAACTACAAACAAAACAAATAAATTTTACATCTTTTCGTTGAAAAGTATGCAGACTATTATAAGAAAAACTTGAAAAACCTGGTTTTACACCAGAAATATGCAGTCAACTTATTAGTAGACTACTTCACAAAACAATTTCATTATGCTGAAATGTTTATCTTTTATTTACAAAATGATGCTTTGCTTCTAGTAAAGAAGTAGTTGATTGAATATATGGTTCTTAAAGTACTGAAGAAAAAACTCTCTTTGTAGTACAACAACCGAAAAGTACTGTATACTTTGTTTTTATTGAACTAGAATGGCAAGATTATAAGAAAACTGCCAACATGTTATAATAAAAATAATATAATTGAAACTTTCATATTAATAACATGTTAAATGCCTATCATCCAGTGGTATAACTACAAAATATGGACCCCCTACAACAGTGGCGTAGCAAGGGTTCTCAACACCCGGGGACAAAGACACTTTTGGCGCCCCCCACCTCTGAAATGTTTTGATTATTTGTTTTGTGACTCATTACTCACTTAATGACAATAACATCAAGAATTAATTACCGCCTTACATAGGCCTAAAATAAAGTCACAATATAACATCTCACGATATCACAATTGTAAACCTGGAACTAATAGCCTACTAGGTGCGCTTACATAATTTGTAAACCATTTTGATATTTATGTCATCCAGTATTGTTCAAAGTCACATAGCTAGAGTAATTTTTCAAACATGCAGAATAAATTTCTGTTATATTCCCAGTTTTGAAACTAATGTTTTATATGAG